TTTTTTTTTTTTTTTTTTGGAAATGGCACCTTTGTTCTTAAAGAATCAGCAGTTAAAGGAAAGAATGCTGTATCAGATTCTGAAGATTCCAAATTCCTTAAAGAAGCTTGGGAAAGCAAGCTGTGATCAAAGTCCCAAGAGGCTCATACCTAGAGAAGATGTTCAACTAGTAGCAGAACTGGTAAATGGCATCAGACCAACTGGAAAAGTTATGGGGTTGTATTTTTACCCTTATTGCCCCTCCCCAATCTATGCTGCACACTCACCTCATAGAACCAGAACTATGTTATGACAACTATCAAACCTGATTCCAGGAAAGTCCAAGAAAGAGGTTGGGAAATGGAGAGTACAAGGTTAGAGCCCACCCCCAAGATCTAGCTCCACCATAGGAATATCAGGAATGACTCCTTGGGTCAGACTTCACTGGTGACCGACCGGGAGGGAATAAGGACATCTGGGGTGGAGGGGAAGAGACATAGTTGTGGATCAGGTGACCTCTGTGAACACAGCTCCGTGATTCTGGAACAGAGGAAGGGAGGGGAGGGAGGAGGGAAGGAGTCAGAATGACCTTCAAAAGGAGGAATAAACTCTGCAAACCAAAATTAAGTCTGTAGCTTATCAGGACTCAAGCTTTAGACTTCTTCAGCAATGCCTTCAGCTGAGTCCCAGCAAACAGGTGAAAGTCAAATCTCACCTCTTTCCATATTTAACTTCTTATGCAAAATCAGATGTCACCAAACACTCTTTAATGGTCTGTTTTTTGTTTATGGTTGTACGTCTGTTTTAAAAGAGCAGATTTCTAGTACTTGTGACTGTAAGTCAAGGCATTTATCTTTTCATTGCAGGGGCAAGGCTGTTTGCTTATGAATTTGAATTACAGACTTCAGGAGAGGATTCCCTTGTCTCCATTTAAACCACATGAACCTTAACCATATATCTCACTTAAAAAAAAAAAAAGATTTGAACAATGGAAAAGTGTATTCTGGTGTAAACAAAACCAGAGAGCAGAACAGTACAGCAACACAGAAAGCAAAGACTTACATCGCAATCCTATGTGTGTTTACTCAGAAGCAAGTTCCATTTTGTTCAGTGGGACTTATGCCCCTGAAAATGTGCACAGGACTGCAACCTAAATGTGGAAATTAAGCTGTCAGTGCAAATTTTCCCAGCAGGCACAAGTCATTATAATCTCAAAATCTCCTTAGTAGCAATAGCTAGGATATTTTGCACAGAACTACTCACACAAGTACATTGAAACTGCTGGATTCCTCTGAAATGTGTGCCTGTTTTACAAGGGCCCAATCTGCCACTGGTGGGCTGTGAAGTGCACTTGTTTCCAGCCTACCTGGTGGCTGAGCAGAGAGAGGATGATTGAGTGGGACCTTCTGGTGGCAAGGGTGGGTGGAGAGGAAGGGATGCTGATCTCCTGCCCTGCTTTTTCTTCTCAAGTTTCCAGTGCTTAAACCAAATGCAGAAGAATGACAGGCACTCATACTTCTAAGGTGTTCTGCCTTAAAGGGCTAAGAGTCAGCACCAAGGTTGCACCTAAATGGAAAGGATGATGTAGCCAGAGCAAGAGGACATATTTAATGCAGGGAATGAGGGAGGAGGCTGGTGCCAAGTGGAGTGCGTGTTCTCCAAGGTGGCTTTGGTTTTTACAGAGAAACTGTTCATGAAAATGTGTGATCCATCTACTACGTGGCTTTGAAATGTTGCCAGACTTCATACTGTATGTGGTTCATCACACACAGCACTTTTCCCAGGGAAGAGTGCTTCCTTCATTAACATTTTAACATTTTATTTATAGTTGCAAACTTCATTTCTGTTCTGCCCAATAGGCAAAGCTCTCTGACAGTTCATAACAGAGGTAAAACAGTGAAACAAGATGATAAACTCTAAAAAGGAATTCAATAGCCATAGAATAAGAGCAGAATAAAACTAAGAGCAGAGGACAATAGCAGGGTCAAGTTCTAAAGAACAAATTTTCAACTCAGGGGAGCTTTCAGAATTTTAAGTTGCTGGTAGCTCCTGAATGGACATCAGGTTCCAGACAAATACTTATAAGCATTTTCCATTACAGGTAGTTCTTGCTTAACGACCACAATAGGGAAAATTCGTTAAGTGGGTGGTGGTTAAGTGAGTCATACCAATTTTACAACCTTTTTTGCAGCAGTCATTAAGTGAATCACCATGGCTGTTAAGCGAAATGCGGTTGTTAAGCAAATCATGCTGTTCCCTATTGATTTTGCTTGCCAGAAGCCACTGGGAAGGTCGCAAATGGCAATCACGTGACCCTAGGATGCTGCAACCATCATAAGTGCAAGCTGGTTGCCAAGTGCCCAGATCACAATTATGTAACCGTGGGGGTGCTATGACGGTTGCAAGTGCAAGGACTGATTGTCCCTTTGTTCAGCACCACTGTAACTTCGAATGGTCACTAAATGAATGGTCATTAAGTGAGGACTACCTGTAATACTCTCACACTGCTATCCAAACAAGCAGGCTCTGATGGATTTGCATTTCTGTAACCAATATTCTTAATGCTGTAATATGTATTAACTGATATAGCAGCAGGCATAAACTTGAAACTATCTTTCTAAGAACTTTTGGGATACATCAAGTTGCAATCTGCAACTAGTGTATCAATCAGTGTATCAGGAAGACCAGGAATCACTGCTTCTAACAATGCTCAGTATTTTCCTATTGTATCAAAGAGGCTGGGACAACTTAAATGGGCAATATAACTGAACAGAAAACCAGTTGAAATGATTAGTTTAATATTATATCACTTTGGGGGGCAATTTTAATGTATCCCATTTTTATGCTTCATTGTAACTAGCTTTTTGCTATGCACAGAAAACTCAAGTCAAAACTATTTAAAATGCACCTCAAGAAGAGGAAAGTACAATTTAAAGTTGAGAAGCTTATTCTTAACAAGATTTTGATCTTCAGGAGGATCTTTATGGGAACAGAACCTCCTGCTAGGCCTAATACTGTGCCATACTTGCAACCTACTTAACCTTGCTCATAGTCTACTGTGTCTGCAAGCTGAAAATCCAGCCAGTTGCAGGCCAGGTCCAACTGTGCAAACAGCCCAAGCATCTGTTGAATGAGCAACAAACCCACCAGTTGTTGCTATAGGCATGTCCCATTGGTAGCGCTCTGATATTTCATTCAAGAGAATGTCCAGTCCTAAGCAGGGGATTAAACCTGGACCTTCCACATATAAAACCTGCATCCTCCCACTGAACCTCCTCCTTTCCTCAAATGGCTATAAGTACACAGCAGCAACAGCTGCCCTAAATATCTGAAGGACACCAACAATATATAATATTATCCAGTCACACTGTGGTGATAAAGTGCATCAGTTACGCCCTTTCCTGGATCAGGATGCCCTTCGAACAGTCACTTACGCCCTTGTTATCTCCCAGATAGACTACTGCAATGCAATCTACATGGGGCTACCCTTGAAGAGTATCTGGAAGCTACAGCTGGTCCAGAATGCAGCTGCGCGGGCTATTGTTGGAGCCCCAAGGAGGGCCCATGTAACACCTCTGCTCCGTCAGCTGCATTGGGTGCCAGTTTGCTTCCGGGTCCAATTCAAGGTGTTGGTTATCACCTTTAAAGCCCTACATGGCATGGGACCAGGTTACCTAAGGGACCACATTGTCCAGCTATTAATGTAGTAATATGTCCTGACCATTTTTAAAATTAATTAATTAATTAATTAATTAATTAATTTTAAAAATGGTCAGGACATATTACTACATTAATAGCTGGACAATGGTTTGTTGTGAATCGCCCAGAGTTCCCCCATTGGGGAGAGATGGGCAGTTGAAAAATTTAACTAATAAATAAATAAATAAATTAATTAATTAATTAATTAATTAATTAATTTTAAAAATGGTCAGGACATATTACTACATTAATAGCTGGACAATGGTTTGTTGTGAATCGCCCAGAGTTCCCCCATTGGGGAGAGATGGGCAGTTGAAAAATTTAACTAATAAATAAATAAATAAATTAATTAATTAATTAATTAATTAATTAATTTTAAAAATGGTCAGGACATATTACTACATTAATAGCTGGACAATGGTTTGTTGTGAATCGCCCAGAGTTCCCCCATTGGGGAGAGATGGGCAGTTGAAAAATTTAACTAATAAATAAATAAATAAATTAATTAATTAATTAATTAATTAATTAATTTTAAAAATGGTCAGGACATATTACTACATTAATAGCTGGACAATGGTTTGTTGTGAATCGCCCAGAGTTCCCCCATTGGGGAGAGATGGGCAGTTGAAAAATTTAACTAATAAATAAATAAATAAATTAATTAATTAATTAATTAATAAATTAATTAATTTTAAAAATGGTCAGGACATATTACTACATTAATAGCTGGACAATGCTATATATCTCCAGTGTGGATAGTGTAAATACAAGAAGGTGATGCTTTCTCCATGGCATCCTAAATAATTATCTGGGTGGAATATTTCTGTTTGATCTCAAATATTCTATACCGCCCCCTATTTTCCTTCCTATGTCTAGATGGAGTTGCTATCTGGTTCTCTTAAAGTTTCTGCTTGAACATCAAGGTATCTGATCCGATTCTTCTGCAACATGTCCTTTTGCCTGCCTCTGATGTCCAACCATACTTCAAACTGCAGTTATCCTTTCCTTCTTCTTCCTTCTCTTCCATGGTAGTTATTGCCTATGCCAACACTCTGCACCAGCTTAGTCTCCCTTGAGAGTAAGCAAGGATACCTTGCAAGGGGTCGAGTCAAACAGTTCTGGGAGCAGGCACTTACTCGTAGGGACGGGTCACTGCTGCGCTGCCAGGTGCTGCCAAGTGTAGAGATCGAGCTAGCTGCCTTTCCAGACCTCTTGAGAGTAGCGTAGAAAACTCCTGTTCTTCTGGGGTGTCCCTCACCTGCTACAGCCCCACCCCACCCCAAGGGGGCAGCACCAGGGCAGGGCAGTGGTGGGGCAGACATGGTTGGATGGGAGAGAATGAGACAATAATTAAAATCATTAGATACTTGCTATTCAACTCAAGTGGAATGGGGGAGAAGGGGACAGAGATGAATTGAGGACTTGTTTTTCTTTAGGGAGAAAAGGCAGAGCATTGAAATGAATGGAGTTGGGGAGAACCGGGCTTTCAGAAATAGCAGAGCAAGAACCTGGCATGTTAAAAGGCTCCATAAAGCCTCCATGTATGTCTGTTCATCATTTTACACACACACACACACACACACACACACACACACATTCTAGCAGCATTGGTTATAGGAAAAGGATCTATCACACTGTGCTGATTCTGAAAGTTCTATCCAGTTTTCATAAAGTTATAACAGATTGCACCCAAAAGTGCTAACAAAAATTGGTTGCCTGATCAGAGGCTTAAACATCTATGAGAGGAAAAAGCAACATGTGGAAGAAGTGGGTTTGGAGATAATTAAAGAACAACCTAGTGTGAGAGGCTGGTCTGAACATCTCATCACAATATTTCATGCTAATAGGATCTTGGTCATCCCATGATTCCTCTTTCTCCTCCTTCTGCCAGAGACTGACTCTCCCTACTGCTGCACCTGCTCTTTTGATCCTTCATATTCTTCCATTCTGTTAACTGTTCCCTGAATAAATATAAAATACCTAGGCCCAATGGCTGTTTTCTTCCATCATTCATTCCCTTACGTGCCTGGTAACAACTCCCTTCTATGTATCAATTTCAGGCACTGACTCCACAGTTTAAAAACTCTCTTGCGTTGAGCTTGGGAGCAAGCTGGTCAGAGGTCTTCAAACAGAGGCTAGATGGTCACGGTGAGAGATGTCCTACTGGATCTTGCACTGAGCAGAATATTTCTAAAGTCTCTTAACTCTATAATCATAGATTTAAATCATAAATCTTTATGATTTATACAGCAAAGGTTTTTTTTTTTTAAGAAAAACATACAGGCTGCATACAGGCTGTATAAATAAAACAAGAGGGAAACAAGGGGGTTTGCTAGTCATTGGTAGAAAGAGCATTCTAAGGACAGAGCTCAAGACAGCCAGTTTGATATAGAGGTTAAGGCACCAGGCTAGAAACCGGGAGACGGTGAGTCCTAGTCCTGCCTTAGGCACGAAGCCAGCTGGGTGACCGTGGGCAGTCCCTCCCTCTCAGCCCTAGGAAAGAGGCAAGGGCAAACCACTTCTAAAAACCTTGCCAAGAAATCTGCAGGAACTTGTCTAAGCAGTCATCAGGAGTCAAAAAGCTCACTCAAAGGCACCAAAAAAAAAAAAAAAAGAGCAGAGCTTAGGGGCAGTTGAATGGAAAAAGTAAAAAGGCTAAGATGTCACATAAGGGCAGATGATCAGAAACCACTAGTGCAGAGGGGTTACAAGAGCTTTCCTGAACATTAAGGTAAGAAATCAGAAGTTTCTCTGAAAGATTAATAGGGAGCCTATTAAGTACAAGAAGATACAGAAAGCTTATGCAATCATACTTTTGTTAATTCTTAAGAGTTATTTTTAAAATGTTTACAATCCTTAGTGTGGTTGTCAACTTTCAAGTTCATAAAATAGAGGACTTGCCTCCTCTGTGACTGTTGACACTTATCTGTGAATAGTGACATTCATCAAGTTTTAGATATGTCTCTGTGACAAAGCAGTGGTCCAATTGCAGACAGACAATGGCTGCCCAATCTTTCCCCAGTGATCTGTGCAGTGACTTGACAGCAGCACCTGGTTTTCATTAGCATCTTATGATGGGCATCCAAACATGAGCCACTGGGTTTTCCAGCTTTTCTCTCTTCAAGTCCCCTGTCTACTCCCCATTCCTCATTTCCCCTTCTGGTGCCCGATCTGGAATAGCTTTAAATGTTCCTTTAAAACCTAGTGCTACCAGCAACACTTTCCTTGGGCAAGCTTTGCTACATTAATCACTTTTTACAATTGTGTCTTGGTCTAAGATTATGTCCTCTATAAGAGATAAGAGATGGCAAAAGCTACTAACATTCTCCTTCATTTCTGGTTCCTCATTTAATTATTTAGTACAATAACACTATGGTACTAAATACTACTTGAGTCACAGTATGTGGCGTGCGCTGGAAAACTCCTACCTAGGGATTGAGAAGGCCCCAAAGAACTGGGCTGTTTTTAAATAATCCTCTGCCTGGTGGCTGGAAGAACAGCTTTAAGCAGCTTTGTTCCTCATCCCATACAATGGAGTGGTAATTTGGCGTGTCCTAGTGAGTCTTCTGTTCACATTCTAGCATTAACTAGGGTCTCCCTATTCTCTCTTCAAATCCTGTTTTGCTTGGCACATCCATCCAAGTTGAGACCTTTGCTTTGTTACCAGGGAGTGCTTGGGGGTGATGCTCAGGATTCAGAAATATTCCTCAGTTACATTAAAGGGAGTCTTTTCAAACTGATAATCTCCTGACTATGTTCAGCTTCATCCCCACCCTACTCTACAACTGTTCTGCAAAATTGTCAAACAGCTTCTGGCCAGAAAGAAAGCAAGTCCAATGATGCTAATACCTTAGGTGTTACATCTTTGGAAGTGGGGAAACAAGACTTGGGTGTCTGAAGAGAAGAGGGTAGGCTGGGAGAGGATCAGCATCCAGCTTCAGCTGCTGGTGCCCCAGTTGAGCCCTCTGTTCGAGACTGCTCTGGCTGGCACATTATGGGTTAAATCTGGATTAACTTCCCCATAGGTTTGAAAACAGCATTTCTCAGGAGAATAGTGGGAAATTTAAATGGCAGCTGGACCAACCCGTCCTCTTGTTATCCCAAACACTGCCATGTAAAACCACTGAAGAGGAAGAAGAAGCCCACTAAAAGGCATTTTGCCTTTTGCATCCTCAAATACGGTGCTAGCTGTGCATGTGCATGTGTGGGTAGGTGTGTTAGGCTAAAGAAAAAGCTGAAGAAAAGGAGGAAGCATGCAGGAGTGCATCAGGAATGTCTCTTACCTGAGCCACGCTTAATTTTTCAAGGGAGCTCTCAACACAGGGCAGTCCCAAGACTGGGACAGCGGGTAGACTTTCAGGTGGAGAAGCTTTCTTGGCTGAAGATACGGGGCTTTGGAAATTGTTGACCACGCACGTCACCTGTCCAACAAAGAGAAGAAGAGCAGCATTAAAGGACTCTTTTCCTGCTTCCTACCAGCACAATGCTCTACTAGATGAAACATTCAACAGAGCTTTGCAGCTGCTAAACTCATTACCACACTTGGTCTCTTATTCTGTCTTTCCTATTCCCTTTGCCTGCTGCTTCTTGATCAAGCCCTGATTTTCCTTCATCATTGGCCCGTTCCCCTTGTTCTGATCACGAGTTGTTAGGGCAGGGCTCACTTTGGTGTCCTCCAGTATGGAGGGATAAGCTGGGTATGACAGAGGAGCCATGTATTGCCTTTTTATTGAAATGCAAAAAGGAATGAGGATAGGATGCCTATCTGAGCAGAGGGAAGTGGCTGCTTGAACCTCAGCTACACAGAAGGGTACAGGTACAAAGTGATTTTGTTTGTATTTTAATATGAACCAAGCTAGTTTACATTTCCCTAAATTATCCCAACCCAGAATAGCCACTTCTCCAAATGTTATGCTATTCTCTGTAAATAAAATTTTAAAGGCCTGTGTAAAAATGTATATAAAAATTGCTCACAAGCATGAAGATCCTAGAGAAAATTATTTGCAAAATGTATACACCACAGAAAATGTCTACAGTACAATCTTTGAATAAAGGCTGTGAGACAGAATGCATGGATGCTTTAAAGAATGCACAAGGAAACCGGCAGAGTCATCAGTTCCCATACCACTTGTTGGGAAAAAGATATGCAGTGTGTGTATTTCATTCCTAGTAGGAAGAGGAGGAGAGTGTGGACAAAGTGATGTTTGGAAAAAAGAGCTATACCACTCAAGATAGCTTCAATCAAATAAGAAATGCCCCCATTCATGGCTGCATTTGGGAAAACTGTAACACTCATCAGCACATAGCAAACTAATACAGGTAGTCCCCACTTTAAGAACGAGTTCCATTCTCAAGGTCTGTCCTTAAGTCAAATATGTATGTAAGCCAGAACAGTATTATTGTGTAATACTGTATAAGTAGTATGGTAGTCCTTGTTTAATGACCATTCGTTTAGTGACTGTTTGAAGTTACAACAATGCTGCAAAAAGCTACTTACGACTGGTCCTCACACTTACAACCATTGCAGTGCCCCCACAGTCACATGATCGCTGTCCAGGCACTTGGCAACCAGCTCACACTTATGACGGTTGCAGCATCCCAGGGCTACATGATCACCATTTGCAACCTTCCTAGCCAGCATCTGGCAAGCAACATCAATGGGGAACTGCATGATTTGATTAATGACCACATGATTCACTTAAAGATCATCATGATTTGCTTAACAACCACTGCAAAAAATGTAAAATCAGGTGTGGTCATGTGATGCCTCACATTAAACAACCGCTTAATGACAAATTTTCTGGTCCCTATTGTGGTCATTAAGTGAGGACTACCTGTATTGTGTAATTAACTTGAACCATTGTGTATTTAACTTGAATTTTGCTACAATGGACTCCATTCTGAACTATGGGTCATCCATAAACTGGGCATTCTTAACCTGGGGACTATCTGTACGTCAAGATAAGCTGCTCCCAAAGATTCTTACCTTCCTTTAGAGTAGCATCACCTGCCTGGCATTTAAGTTTTAGCCCTCCGGTGCTGATAAAGGAATTGTTATAGAAACTGCTAGATGACATACAGTGTTTAAAAAGGAGGCTCTGCCACCCTGCAAAACTCTGGTGAAAAAGCTCCTATGACATTGCTCTTATATGTGCAGTGGTGGCTGGAACTGCTCCTCCTCCCAGAAGCACTCCTGATGGTAGCTGAACCCTGAAAAGGAAGCCCCATCCTTTTTCCTACCAGCCAATGCCCTCCCTTGAAGAGGCTGAGCAGTCAAGCAGCCCCCAAACACAGCACTTACCAGAAAGGTGGCAATAGCCCCACCTGTGAGGAACCCAGCCAGCACATCAGACCAATGGTTCCGGTACTCGGCCACACGCACCACACCCACCAAGAATGCCGGGCCCAGGAGTGCCAGGCACAGGGAGGGCTTGGCCAAGCGGGAGCCCTTCAGCTGGAAAACCAGTGTGACATACATCTGTGGGAAGGGAAGAACAGCATAAGAGAGTTAGTTGAGACGCCACTCATCTTCCGTGAAAAGTGCTCAAGATGTTGGACAGCATAACCATACATATACAGTCAAGGTACTATTCTTTTTAAAAATAAGGAAAGAAGGTGGGTATAAGACAGCCAGTCTGGTGTAGTGGATAAAAACCAGGTTCTAGTCCTGCCTGAGGCATGAAGCCAGCTGGGTGACGCTGGGCCAGTCCCCCTCTCTCAGCCCTAGGAAGCAGGCAAGGGCAAACCACTTCCGAAAAACCTTGCCAAGAAAACTGCAGGGAGTTATCCAAGCAATCTCCAAGAAACTTGTAGGCACCAAAAAAAAAAAGACTCTTTCATGGACCACCAAAAGAGGACATTCCATTCTCCTTCTCCTCGTTTCCCACCAACCCTCCACTTTCCTCAGAGTAATCCTTATCACAGCCACCTATTTTGAACTTCCCTAAAGCTGCTGCCGCTACTAACTTCAAATTCATCGTCCCCTCCATTCCAACCTTCAAGCACAGAAGACACTAGATTGATTCACCAGTCAACACCTCCGTGCCCCACAAATGTTCCACTTGCAGAAGGCTAATTTTTATCAGATTTCTGCTGCAGCCACCATGATTAAAGATGCAACACAAGGGTTCTGGTGAATGCTTTACTTTCAAATGAGGTGCCCACATACAGGCAATCTAAAGCAGCAAGGTTCCAGTTAGTTTTCTTGCATTTTTTCAGTGTAAAGGGGAGAAGGCTTGTCTATTTTCTGAGGGTGGGGTCAAACTGCACTTATTGATACTTCTGGAAATAGCTGCTAGACTTGTGAGCAATGGGAGAAGCAGCTCTCACAGTTTTATTCAGATTCACATCTTGGAGGGAGGGAAAGGACTCTTCCCAAGTCACACTACATTGTAGCGCATCTGTGTGTGTGTGTCTGCTCTCTTGCATCTCTACTAGTTTCATAGTCATTTAATCATTGCGAGAGTTGTAAGCTAGTTTTGTGGTGTTTAATGTACTTTAATGTATTTGTTATTTTATCACGTTTTTAATAATCTACTGAAAGCAAAGTTAATAATATGCTTAAAGGGCAAATAAACCTGGATAGTAAAATGAAGAAATAAGCAAGGACCTTCCCGCCATGTGCGCATATTTACTGCCCTTGGCAGTGTATAATTGGAAGGCTAATATACTAAGGCTATAGGCTAATCTATGGGGTAGGTGGCTCTGCCAGACAACCCAGAAGACTGAGTTAATGCACTTTTGGACCTTCCAGGTTTTATTGTGTTTTATTTTACTAGTTGCCTTAGATATATGTCTGCCATTCCCTACTATCTCAAGACATTTTGATGCCTAAATATATTCCAGATATTCTCCACTCACTGAGAAAACAGTTGGACTACAACCAATCCAGTCATGCAGGGGGCCATCCGGAACTAGTTTTTCACCCTGTAATGGCAGGGTCTGGCCACTGTCCAACTTGGCTCTCCCACTCTGCATTTTTCCATGTGATTTTCTCTTCCATTGCATCAAACAACAAAAAAGTCAGGAGTATTACAGTTTGGGAAGAAAGCAGCTACCAGAAGAGTAGGCTTTTCTCCATAGGGGAAGGCCTTGCAGGCCACTTTCTTCCCCTATGGAGGCATCAGCCAAGGCAAGAGCAAATGGGAGAGTCAGCTGATCTCCTTGCCTCTTCCTTGGCATCCTTATTACATAGAGAAAAGGCATGGAAATGAATCTCAAGGAAACAGGTTTAACCTAAAAATGGATGTGGTATTAAGCAACCAAGATAAATAAACTGCTCTTAAGAAACGTG